ACCTGGGACTACTCACGGGAGAGGAGAAGAGAGAAATGTATCAACAGTGTACACTTAGAAGATGATTACCGGACTGGCTTCAAACTTTGAGAGTGAGACCTCCAGAATAGTGACTTTACAACGAGAGGAGGGGAGACTGTGTAGGATACCCCCATTGTGTAGGATACCCCCCCCCCCAAATGTGACTGTGTAGGATACCCCCGCGGTCAGAGTACAAATTCTTCATGAGGGATCACTGTCCTAGGCAGGACCGAGGCTCTTTAATGCCGTGCCAAAAGGGCTGAGAGAAGGGGAGTTCTTACTTGCAACATTCAAGAGACGACTGGATAATTGGTTGGGAAAGGTCACGGATTGTCCAGTTAGGAGGAAATACCCTTAGCAAGTGACAAGCAACAGCATCTTGCATCAGCTGGCCCAAAGAAGGGCAAACAGGCGGAACACGTCCAACGTTACATCCGGGACCCGAGAGCGTGGCGACCAGCCTAGTGACGACTAAGAGACGGAGGACGACGAAGGCGGTGCATCAGCGTGACCGGGGACTAGGAAGTCCCAAACTCATCGTAAGGTAATAAGGTTAATGCTTACCAGTAAGGTTACTTAGAATGGAAAGCCGTTGTCAGTTAATTCAATACAATCGAAAATTAATAGCATTATCGTTTAATTTTTCGTTAATTTTCCAATGCTTTGGTAAATTTCGATGTGGCAGCGTTCCTCATAGCAGAGAAGTGTTGTGTATTGTGTCGATTAAAAGTGTCGACACTGTTCTAATTTTCAAGCACCCCTCTCATGTAAGCCTTTTCTTTGATTACCTGTATCTTCAGCACAAGTCCATCATATTTACCATGGAGCTTGAATCAAACAATAGTTTATCTTTTCTTGATTGCAATGTCATAAAATCAAATGGCCGCTTCGAGGCATCTGTTTACTGAAAATCGACGTTTACCGGCTTAAGCGCCAGCTTTTTTAGCTTTTGTTCTTCGAGGTTAGAATTAAATGGTATGCAAACGTAAATGAACTGAGGCTTTCGTGTTTCTTCTTTTTTCCATACTATGCATTCTGAATTTGCATTTAAACGCAGTGCGTTTTCACTGAATGGTTTTCCGTCACAATTGGTATATACTCAGATTATGACATATTTGTCTAAGCAATATTCTGAGGTTGTTCCGGAACGTGACGATATGAATGCTGTTTATTGTTCATTTCCTTGCTTTGGTCCCGCTTCGGAGTCTTTGGCTAAAGAGATGGAAGGTTTGTTCTCTAAATACCTCCCAAATGTAAATCTTCATGTATTCCTGGTGAATAAATTTACAATCGGTTCTTTTTCCAGTATAAAGATACACTCCCTGTTCCTATGCTTTCGTCCCTAGTTTATCAATGTAGTTGTGCGTTAAGCTCATCTGCGCATGCCGGTATGACATCTCGCAACTTTTATACTAGGCTGGCGGAGGATAAAGGAAGAAATTTTAGAGTAGGAAACCTGCTTACGCATCCCTCTCATTCAGCAGTACGCGGTCATGCCGAGCAGTGCAACGTGCCGGTGTCCGATAGTGGTCTATTTCTTCAGTGCCGACACTTCTATTCTATTCCATAGTGATTTTCGAAATTTAGCATCTACGACCGCTGTTTGAATATTAGAGTCCCTTTATATTTTTAAACAGAAGCCTAATTTAAATGCCACCACCAGTTCATGTCCCCTCGAAATTGTAAATACATACGTTTGTCTGCCCATATTTACTTCATTTTTATTTGTTTTTATTTGACGATTTATGCTTCGATGTGAATTTATTCACTAATTGTTTGTACCTGTGTTATAGGTTTTGAACTGATGATGGATCTGGAAAAGTTTTCCTTTTTAAGAAATGCTGAATTTTCTGGCCATTTTCTTTGCTTCTTAATTCTTGACAAGGGGAAGCTGGTCAACATGTCGGCGATTCGAAACGAGAAGAAATGTTGTCGCGTGGATTGGTTTTCGCGTTGTCGTGGTTTTTGTTTGAAATTCTAGTAATCCTTCTCGGACCTTGTATAAACTGTGTGTATACTTTATACTTCAATGAGGTCCCTACGCAGACGCCGATAACAGAGGCTTGGAAGCTTCATAATCTTTAATCTTTCTCCATAGGCATGGACCTTCAAACCTGGAATTATTCTTGTTGCACGTCTTTGAACACTCTCTGCTAAATTTTTGTTCTTTTTTAAGTTTCGGTGACCACACTGCGTTTCCGAATTCTAAGTTCGGGCGCAAGACAGCAACAAACAGCAGCTTCATCGCTTCTGCATCGAGGAACTCGTAAGAACGTTTGATCAATCCAAGAAGTTTGCTGGTTTTAATAATCTTGCGTCTCCATATGCTTAGAAAAAATCAGCTTTTTGTAGACATAAACTCCTAAATCTTTTCCACCCTAGACTTTTCAATCATTACTCGTTCGTTGCAACCATGTCTTCTAAAACTGTAATTATGGTGTTCATTGTTCTTCCCGAGGTGAAGTACTTGTCAGCATTAAAACGCATCTGCCACGTATCAGCCCAGTTAACTAAGCTGTCAAGATGTCTGCCTGTTCAGGTTTGTAAAGATGTTTAGGTTTGTACATGTAAGGTAAATTTTAAGGGAAGCCAGCTTTAATTTTGCCTTTTTAATTATCTTGCAATTGCACCTTATTTGACGCATCCTTCACTGTATTATAAACTTTTATGTCGTCGACATACATGGAGCACACGCTTGACACTACTTCGGGCAGATAGTTTATAGGAGCAACGAACAAAACAGGCCCAAGAACGCTTCCTTGTGGTACTCCACTGCGCACTGATGCCCCATCTGACACGGTTCAGTTAATACTGACACGCTGTCGTCCACCTACTAAGAAATCTATGATCTATTGGAGTACGTTTCCCTCTATCCCCAAAGACTTCACTTTACGCAATAGCCGCTCACGCTTCAAGTGCTTTGCAAAATCGCGGAAAACTGCATCCAATGGTTCCCTTTCGTCCAGCAGGCGAGTCCAATCGTTCAACGTAGACATGAGGTTAGTGGTGCAGAATCTACCGGCAATAAAGCCATATTGACAGTCTGATAGGAGATGTTGAACAGTCGAATGATCAATAATCCTATCCCTCACAGCAGATTCCATTACCTTGCAAAAAATTATTGCCAGAATGACAGGGCGGTAATTACCGGGGCTACTTATGTCACCTTTTTTTACGCAATGGTGTTACTTGAGCTTCTTTCTAATCGGTTATCAAAGTTCCTTCGTTCAAGGTTTTTTGAATGAATACTGTCAGCGGGAAGGCCAGGATGGTTGCTAATTCTTTGAGCAATCAGGATGGAAGCCATCTGGTCCACATGACTTGTTGGGATTTAGAGCTACCAGGCGCTTGAGAACCTCTTCTTCGTGTATTTCAAAACCTGGTAACTTCGAGCCGACTAGGTGCTCCTCAATATCTGAAATACTGTATCCTCATCTTTGAACACACTGCTAAAGAACGGATTAGAACGTTAGCCTTGCCCTCATCAGAGGACATCTTTCGTTGGTCTTATATCAAATCAGAAATACCATCGTTTGTTTTACACTTCGAACTAGCTTCCAAAATAAAGCTTCCGGGTTCTTTTTTGCATTTTTGGCAAACTATTTTTCAAAGTTTTTCACTGCGGTTCGACAGACTTTTTTAGCTTGATTTTGAGCTCTTGCATATAGGTTATAATCAGCATCGCTGCGAGTTCGTGAATAACGCTTGCAGGCTTCCTTGTTGGGCTCTGGCTGAGCTATAACTGTACTCTTCATCCACTGGGAATTTTTGACTCCTCTAGGCGTAATCTTAGGTACACATGCATCAACTGCAGACATAACCGTATCGTTGAGATGTGACCATGGATCAGTAACATTCATCCCCTTAATACAGTCCGAAATATTCGCCGCATTCAATGCATCACTGAGTCGAATAGTCGCCTTTCGCAAAGTTCAAATATTGACGCTTCCGAATACTTTTCTGCATAACATTTAAAACTGAAAAAAAATTATTGGTGGTGGCTTCTGCCCAATGGAGCCTTGTGGCGAAGCTCATCTAACATTGATTCTTCACTAGTAAATACTATAACTAGAATATTTGGGGTCTGTTTACCTCTAAAATTGGTTAGCTTAGCGATGTTCTGGAATAAAAATGAGTCCCTCACTGACTCGAAGAACAGGGATGCTGGGTGATTCCCATCTCGTGGAGAGGATTCATCTGCCCAGTCCATTTCCGGATGGTTAAGGTTAAAAAGTTAAAGTTAGACCGTTCAGGATGGTTAATGAGATATAGAAGGGTCATTGTCCTAATCGAGATGCCTTTTTGCTCCTGTGTGTTCATACAAACCCGGTTTGACCTTGTAAAACGGCTTATCGGTGCTATATGGTCACCCTCCGTTCTTGCTCTGGATAAAAATGTGCAAGTTGTGCAAGCCTTATTGTTGAACAAAAATGTGCAAGTCTTATAGTTGAACAAAAATGTGCAAGTCTTACAGTTAAACTATAAGACTCATTTGTATTTTTCGGAATGTGGCTAAAAGTCCTCTCTTGATCCTGTGAACGATAACGTGAATCTTGAACAAATTATGCAAATTCGAAAAAGGCCGGATACCCAACATGTCGATATGTTCCTAGTGACTGGACAGTAATAACCCGGTTCACACGCTCGTCTCTCCTGCGGGAACTCGTATTACCTTACCAAAAGTAGTATCGCCCAGTAGTCGCTCTTCTGGGCTTAGGGTTATTGTGGATCTGCTAGGTCGATCAAAATCAGCTTCTGGTCAAAATTTACTTCCCGACTTTGTAGTGTCATGATAGTATGAAAAGGGTTGGTCGAACCCGAGTCATACCGAACTGACAGGCTGTTCCGCGTTAGCAGTTCGAGCCCGGACGAAATGAACTTAGCGGAGCTAATTGGCGTGCTCCCCAAGTCGGGCCGCATCTAAATTTTATAAGAATAACTCACGGTCAGCAAGGATTCCGTCCAAATGCTTGCCTCACCTGTAGAAATTCGTAGGAGTATACGGACAGGAAGGATGCCGTCCACACACCCGCCACTGCCAGTCCAGAACCCACGTTCTTCGCCAGAGGGGGCAACATCTCTCCTGATTTGGTCATTATTGTTATCCACTGTATATTAATTGGAAAATTGATCTATTAATTCATTTGTTTATATCAACTAACTAACAGTTACTTGTTGAATTATTCACGTAAACGCACCGCTCCGGAATTCATTTATGCTATTATATGGACGTACTTCCCAGTAACATAAACGGTTAGAAATTTTCTTGAACGAAATCACAAAAATTGAAAATATATTTTTACTGTGTTTATTGTACAATGTGCATACCTTTCATTTTGTTTTCAGAAACTTATACTACGAGACATCGAATATAGATAGAATTTCTGGCAAAAACTTAATTAGTGAACGTATATTCAATAGTAAAAGATAATTTTTAATAAAGACAAGGAACTTAGGTTCCTGTAGACCTAGACAGTATTCATTGTCTTCAATTACTAACCAAGCTTCAAACCCAAAATTCATTCATGTAGCCAGTGCAATTAAATTGAACATTATCTAAGAGATTCCTAAATATGTTTTGTAAGTGATTTCACCAACAAATCTTTTTCAGCTATTGTATTTCATATAATAAATGAATTAAGTTACTTACCTATCAGGATCCATGTCACTGGCCCCAGCCCCGCCCCATAAGCTACAAGGAAAATCATGAGCGCCATCATCGGAAGCCAAAACAGATAACGGCGCGTCCACTCTTCATCGACCGATAGCATGTAGAAGAATGCACCCAGGCCATCTGTAAAATGATATTCACACAATTCAAATTGGTCCTGGGTGAAGAAAGCACCCAGACCACCTGCAAAAGATATACATTCAATTTAAATCTGTTCAATTTTAACCAATCCTCTAATCCCATATTACAGGAGACCCAATAGTTACAGTACTGCATACCAAGATTGGAGCAGTAAGTTGCGGGTAAGATCCCTGCTACCTGCAACTGTTATAACATAACATAACATAACATAGTGATGTCGTCTCTGAAGTGTAGGCCTGATGTGGCCTGTCGCCGATTCTTTTCCATTTCGTGCCTTGTTCATAGATCTAAACTCGTGTCATTTGACCGAATCTTTTCATGACTGGCGATAGTTTGAAGAAGCTACTAGACTTCCACCGGGTTCGATAAGGAGCTAGGCATTTCAAATCTGAACATATATTTTTCCATAGCTTTATCTAGTCTGTTCTTGAACGCGTTCATACTTGGAGCGCCAACGATGTCATCGGGAAGGCTGTTCCACATGTCGGTGATTATGGTCAAAATCTGCGAGGTGACCAGGCGGATAGGCACAGCTGATTTGGGGCAGTGAGTTGCGTGTTCGATGCCCTCAATAAGTTCCGAAATTTTTGCGAAGTTTATGATTAGCGACAGGTGATATGGTCTAATCAATGGCGACACCGCTGTAATCAGACAGTCATGATACCTGCCTTGACGACTTACTCTTTCAGAATTTCTCTTCTAACAAGGAAGTTTCGGCAATTGTCAGTAGTTCTAAGATTCAAAAGTTACGCACTAGAAGACTACGAATAATCGTCCATGAAATTTCAATAACGTTTTTTTTTCTCAATTTGTGTTGAATTATCTTATATAATTGCGACGACATATCCTGTTAAGGAAAATAATATAATATAGCGGTTTCAGCTTTGATCAGGATTCATTGCTGGTCACCGATTCTTATCCACCTGGTCACCTTGCCGATTTCGGCCAGAATCCGCACAATTGCGGGTTTCGAGCCCGCCGTTGTAATTACCAATCCTGGTAATCTTTACAACTCAGCCAACCCAAGCTTCAATATCAGCCTTAATTTGATAAATGTTTAGTTGTCCCCGAACAAAGTTATTTACATTGAAATCATTTTAAACTCTCACAGAGACTGGCAGCCATGGAGGCCGAAGATACGACAAGCAGAGACTTTCTGCCAGCTCTCTCCACCAAGACCACGGCTGCTATTCCTGCCAGTATCTCCAACGCAATACAGAGCACGCCGCTCACGTTCTCTGACAACTCGCTGCCGGAGTTCTGCACAACAATATTTGGTTTAGTATTGGATACACTCACTTGATGTTTGATTTGTAGCGAGCACTGTGGAGAGTGTTTCCTTTAAGGTTGCACCAAAGCGAGCATCCTTTAAGGTTGCACCGAAGGTCTTATGAAATTTTTACGGGCAGAAGATTAACCCGTCGGCCTGATATTCGAATTGTTAAAAAAAATCCAGTGTATATGTGTTAATGCATCCGGGATTATAATAGGGCGAGCATGTAGTTTCATAGATCGTAGTTCAGTGGTATGCATTACCATTTTGCCTCCATTCTATTATAGTGAAAATGAATATGGATTCACCTCATGAGAAACGCAAAGGAATTCAGAAGCTTTAACTGCTACTTGTTACGGTGAGGTGAACGACGCACGTAGAAAGAAGGTCGTAGAGCTCCCTTTAATCACAATTCTCGTACTTGTACGAAATTAAGATATTCGTTAAAGTCCATTTAAAAGCGAATTTATTGTGAATTGGTAACCTACTGTTTTCAGCTGCTATATAGCGCCTTTTTCGAGAGTCTCGTGTGACATGACAAAAGCCGAGCTAACATGGTCGGAGGGCGAGGTCCAAGCGTCCTTGAATCAGATTTTCCACGGCTAAAAAATTGGGTTGGTTGATCATGTGATCGTTGTAAAATTTCTAAACAATATATTTCATTTTTTACAGGTAACAAATTTAAAGCGGGATGAAACTGCTTGATATTGTGATGACAGTGCATTGCCTGTTTACAGGAATTGAACAATGTACCTTCTGTTATTCACACAAGGCCTACAAAATTTCAATATTTCCAGGTGAGGTACACAATTGTATCATATTGTGGTGCGGTTCACATAATTCCTTCAGTGATTTATGATCGTTTATTCAATGGCGTTCGTGCATGCTGGGTATGACTCATCGCGACGTAAGTATCATGGCGCCTCGCTACTTTTTGAACAAATTAATACAACCTATATGAGATGGTTCATGCGACATCGATGACAAAATGTAGTCCATGCTTTGCGGTTTTTCTTTCATATAGTTACTTAATTATGTTCGCTGCGCAAAATGTTTATACCCCACCCATTCTACTGCCCCATTAGGTGGGGATTACCCCTATCCCGGTTTGGGGCTATGCAGGGAGTAGTGCAGGGCGCGGGCTGATGGCGCAGTTAATTGCCTAGTTCCGCTAGTCTTGTTCTCATGTTGAGTGACGCACAATTCTCATTTCACGTGTGTAATTGCACAATGAAAAGTGAAATATGCGACTTGAAAATAATTTGTTTAAAATGATAAACATTTTCATTCTGAACATTTTTGAGAGCACAACTTTTTCTGTCGAGAGGTTCTTCCTAGTTTTACTGCCCAGAGATTTTTGGAGCAATGTTCGTTGGAAAACCTAGCACCGGTATGGCGGCATTCACGAATATAGTCCAGCGAAGATTTCTGCAGTCATAGAAATTTCCAACTTGGGTTATAAGTGTCCATGAGCGTGTTATTTCTGATGCTAGTGTTCATATGCCTTAAGTTCTAATTTCTATTTGCCATAATAGCTTAATCGTATTCTGGGGCCGGATTATCAAAACTTCGTAACTTTTTGTACTTACGACAAAAAAGTTCTGTGGTACGTAAATACACCCTAATTTTGGCATTATCAAAACTTTCGTACGCAAGTCTTAGCTAAAAGCCTAATTTTTTTCCCCACACAAATTTTTCCCGCGCAAATGTTTATATAATACCACCGCTAGTATTACGTTGTCATAGCATCGCCACTCGTAAGTCGACTTTGCGTACTTACGAAGTTTTGATAATACGGCCCCTGGAACCGAAAGTTAAGAATTACAGACAGTCGACAGCGTGATTAGTACTACCGAGCCGCTGCAAGCAAAAAGTATATGAAGAAGGATGCAGAGCGTTCAAATTAACTAAGCTACTCTTTTTTTGTGATTGTCAATGATGTGTTTCTTTCTATCGCATCATCAAATTTTTTGCCAGAGTGAAATCGAATTATCGTTATGAATAGGGTTATTTTCGAAGAATTACAAAGAATTAGAGAATACATTTCTGAAATTGAGATAACACATGGCAATGTGAAAGTTGGAAAGGCAACAAATTCCATCTGCAATTTCGACGGTAGTAACAGTACTATTCTTCTTTACAGCCTCTATAGGCAGAATTTTATTTTAGTAAATTACACTGGATGGTCGATAGTAAATTACACTGGATGTTAGGTACACGTGCATGCAAGAGGAAGTAGGAATGCGCGCGGGTCTCGCCTTGCTGCGAACAATTCACTTACTGCGAACAATTCATTATATTTTTTTCATTTCATATCTAGAAACTCAGGTATGAAATTATCAGCTACTATATTGAATCTGCGCAATGTTGAAATGGTTGAAGTTGAGCCCTATATATGCCCTATGATGTTGCTTGCAAATATTTTCGGAGAATTTTGATGACTGATTTAAGTGATTATTGCGGGAGAATGTTTAACAGAATATGTGAATGTTTTATGATGGCGAATATGGGTGAAGTTTTAATACTGGCTAAGGTGAGAGAATGTTTCATACTGCCGTATGTGGAAAGTGTTCGGTATCCGCAATTGGTATGAGTTTTTGGTACGGGTAAATGGGTAGAATGTTTCGGACTTGGATAATGGGGAAGGATAGTGAGCGGGGATGAATATTAGATAATGTTGATTGTTGAATCCCAGTGAAAGTTGAAGAATATTCGGTTGTGGGTAATGCGGAAAGTCGGGAGGGGTAATTTTTCAACGCATTTTTCAGATCCGGCCGTGTCTATGCCGGAGCTACCCAGTCAAAAGTCACCGCAGTCTGGAAGCCAGCCGCGGGTGAACTTGCCTGCACCAACGCTCGCCCCAGCGCAACGCCTGGGGGATCAACAGCGCAGGAATGTCCACAGCAGCGCAATATTGCGGCAGAGCTTCTCGGCCTGGAAAGGGCCTGCTGCCGCAGTCAGTCTGTCCTACCGCGAGCGACCAGGCCGGCAGGCACTGCCAGCTTCCGCGCTATCATCGCAAAGGTGGTTGCCGCGATTGGCGGGATCGCTGCGCAAAATTCTCGCCGGCCTGAGGTGGCCGAACGTGAATTTCGAGCCAAAAAAAATCCCCATGCCCTCCACTATATATATAGCTCCCTTACTTTGTGGAGCTATATATAATAATTGTGGAGGGGATGGGGAATTATATAACAACGTACACCGACAAAATTATAAAGCGAATTTTAATGCAGTCATTCTGAGATACGAATTAGGAACAAGTATAACAAATTTTGACAGAAATAAAACGATTTACATGTTCTGGCCGTTTATTAGAAGCTTAGGTGCATATAAACATTCTTACTACATAACATTTTTTGGGTATAACGTAAAGCCTTACACATGGAGTTTAAGCAGTCGACAACTATATATATAAGAACAAAACATGATTAGGTACGATAATATAACCCCTCCTTTTTTTTAAATACACGTACAAGCTAATTCCTGGTTTTGCATCGACACAAGCAAGCGAATAACATTATCTTATATAGATTGTAAATGAGAAGCGTCTCAATACTTCAGAATCTAACTTGAAAAGTTAATACTTTAAAAGTTAATTTCAAGGGGGAAATAGTATACAAAAACACCATACTAAATGAAACTGAACACACATGACGCACTCTGACAATTTGTAATGTTTTCTGATAGGGTCGGCGATGCGTTCACGTGATGTTTGCGTAGTGGCGGCTTCCGTTAATCCTGCAAGTTTCAATGAACAAGCTCTAGTTCTAAGCGCGTAGTTTTCGCGGGGTGCTTTACACTGCTGAGGTTAACGTCGACACAGCTGGGACACGTACAACTAGACACAGCAGTTTACTTGTGACACAGCAGTAGACTTCTTTCACAGCAATTGATTTGTGGCACAGCAATATATTTTTGGCACAGCAGTAGACTAGACACAGCAGTAGACTAGACACAGCAGTAGGCTTGTGGCACAGCAGTAGACTTGCTTCACGGCAGTAGACTAGACAAAGCAGTTGACTAGTGGCACAGCAGTTGGCTAGATGCACTGGCTGACTCCCCTGTAGAAGTAAGTAAGAAAGTTGAAAGTAAGTAAGAAAACACTTCTATACAAATATATGACAGGAAATTCTATGAATAGATTTGGTACATAAAGGAAATTCATACTTCTTATTCATCTAAGCACTTCGATCAAAATAATGTTCAAATGATACTAACAAATAGAAAGAAACATCAAGTAATGCTGATTTTAAATTGATAGACATATCTCATCATTTGCCCTAAGGAAGATTTCTATAAATGAAATATTGTATCTTTGATTCGTCCTCACATCAATATTGCCATTCATTGACATAAAATTTGACTAGAGCAGACAAAGACCTTACACGAACTTGTGCCTCACAAAATGCTACCTGCGATAAATCGTTCTCTGACCTCTGTATAGTTAGTGCCTTGAAGATAGCGCCGTCTTTGAACATGTACGAGTAAGAAGCACCTTAGGTCGGGTATCAATGTGACAGCATTCCCACGCTGCGCGGGGAGCGCAGCCGTGCACCACCAATTTTGTGCACCAATAAGCCCTGAATCGAACACCTTGGATCTCTCCGGACATCCACCAATCAGCCGTGAACCACTCGGCTTTGTCTTCCTCCGACCTTGCATAGAACCTGCCGTGCACCACCAGGCCGCGGATCGAATCTGACTTCCGGGCATCTTAAATTACGTAATTTTACGTTCACCGCATCTGAGGTTAGGTTTCAGATGGCATAGTTCTGTTACAAAATTTTTCGTCCTTCGACAAGTGGCCGTTCGACCGAGGGCTGGTTCGACCCACGGCCTAGATACGGACGGCTTGAAGTGTCGAAGGCTACGTTCCGGAAGGCAGAAAATGATGGTCCATTACGTCCAGGGCAGTGGTGGTCTTCGGCAGGCGACCCCGCTGCGCGTACCGAAACTGTCTAGTATAGCTGAAAATGTCCCTTCATCAGGAAGTAGAAATGCAAACTCAGGCGTCCATTTGATATCTCACCTTTATTAACAATCCTCGTGTGGTGCAATAAGCAGAAATTTGACAGCATATCAGGTCACCCGATATCACTCCTGCTGCCTGCACCCGATATCACTGCAGTAAGTGCCGTGGAACTTGACTGTCCACCCGATCCATCCGCGAATGTCGACAGCTTTGCGGGCAAAGTTAGTCGGGTTTAGCTGCATTCAACATTTGCCTGCAACAAAATGGATTTCATCAGTTTTGATCAGTGAACCTGTGACCAGTAAAGCGAGCTCACAGACGTGCTCAAGTTCTACCGACTCTGTCATCTCGATTAGTTCCAAAATATCAACTAATTTAATACAGAAGGAAAATAAAATTTTTTACAGGGGCACATTTACAAATAACTTCGAGACAAAAGTTAATTTCAGATCATAATTATAACGTTTAACTAGAGTCGAGTGGATTGGCAATGGAGGCAAAAGGCAAGCCGCAAGCGTGCCTTTCGAAAGCAATGCAGTGAGTTAGGCTGGAGATGAATCCTTAACGAAAAGCAGTGTTTCATGACTTGCAGTAACCTAAATTTCCTCTTGACAGTTGCGCATGAGATCTTAAACCGTATGAAACTGTAAATACAATAAATACTGACGTTTTTCTGTTCCTTACCTCCAATATTTATCCAAAATGAACCGAATTCTTTCGTGTTCACTGCACCACACATCCCCGGTACTTCCTGCACCAGTACAGTATAGACTCTAGACTCTAGAGCGTAGACTGTCCGGCGCATGCGCACTGCGCAGCGCGGCAGTCTTCGCTGCCGCGCATGCGCAGGGCAGTTACTTGCATTTGAGAAGCATGTGAGTTCTGCAATACGTTCAGTCGTATTCGTTACCGTTTGGCGTTCATTTGGTGTTTCTATTATTTTGTGCATTTATTTTGATTTTTACTTTCAGATCATTCACTGATTTCGCGTTTTTCATCGAATTTATGTCAATTAACTGAATACACAAGATAGTGGATGGAACTAGTTTCACAAATACTGGCGACATGGATTCGCTGTAGTATAGAATAGAACTGTCGAAAATAAAAAATAAATGTAGAAAATAAATAATTATGTAAACCTCATAATTTTAGAGAAATGAAATAAGTGAATAATTCAATCCGTTTCTTCCGGTATAAGCTCCACACGAAGATTCATGCCTAGAAGGTTCTTTCAATATTCCCTGCCTTCCTCACCCTTCACCCCCTTCCTCTCCCTGCCTCCTCAACGCTTGAACCGTTACCGCCGGCATATTCGACGTAGGCCGCGGTAGTGGTGCGGCCATGCAGTTGCCTGCCGCAGCTTTTGCCGACCGAGGCCTCGCGCTGTTCGTGGCAGATGAGGCCATATCGTCGCCAGACTGCTTGGACGCGAGGTGAAGTCGGCAACAACGGACTAGATTTGCGCGTCTGCGAACGTCTCTGCGGCGAACGGCCGCAATGACTGCGAGAATTTCGAACTGGGTATCAGGTTCCAAATGCGCGCGCCCCAAAAACGCCCCAAGCGCACTCGGTCTATGAACGAATTCTAATCGGACGCTTATTTCGCTCGTACAACCAGATCGTGAAGCGGAGTTAGCGGACATAGAGCCGCTAATGTACGCGCTGGGCAAGCTAAAGTAGTCTTTAACTCAGAAGCTAACCAACCTCAAAATTTCGATAGGGTGCCATTCTTGTGCGACTTGATACACTATTATGTTCAGTGAAGGAGAAACCACATTCTTATGGCTTTCACAGTCAATTTTAAATCTAAGTTTAGGATTATTTTGCAAAATTTCATAAAATAATAACCTTGAAAATAGTGCTGAGATTTGCAGTGAGGACTCCGATGCCGCAGAGCGAGGTGAAGGCGCCGATCGTGAGCGTGATGATAATGGGTTTGTAAATGTGGGCCTTTTTAAGGTCAGCCAGCTTTAATGTAGTCTTTTTGGCCTCCTTTTGGGACTCTTGTACAGCTCTAATTTCATGATCGATGCAGTAATCAGCACCTAAGTCGGTGAGATTTTATAAACATTTTCTTTTATTTTGTAAGAAAGATTCATCTAATTTCAATTTTTTTCTGTTTTCTGCCCAATAACAGAAACAAAATTTGTAAATGTGCATTTCAGGAATCATATTTTAATTGAAGAGATATCCCTTTAGTTGTGTAACAATCAGTTAACTCTACTGGGCAGATTCTTTTGGATATTATAGCACTTGATTTGATGGCAAAATCCACTAAATGGTAGCAATTGATGTTGAGGGTGAGCTATCATTGTCTGACAGTTGCTCAGATACCAAGTGAATGGATCCGCTGCCAGAAAATCATTTCTAAATAGTCATATTGTAATTCTTTGCATGAATGTTTTTTAGTAATTTGTGATTGTCACTGCTCAGGTTTCGGTTTCTTAACTCGCCTCTATTACTACAAGGTACAATCAACCAGCTTACGGGTGCAGAATATGAGGGAGCTTTGCTTTTGTCTTTGAACAAACGAACATGATTTTTGAAGTTCCGTCATCAAATGAAAGAAGCGGATGCAAATTTTGCTCAATAACTCATTCTCTCAGAAAAAAATACATTTTATCTATCATGTTCTTTATGATGCTTTTGAAATATGAACTTGAAATATTAGTAATAAATTCACATGAGGACCTCTGAAATGCTGAAGAGCTGCCCTAGCTTCAGTCTCTCTGCCCTTCAATAGGAGGTAAGCCGGCGACTCCTTGCAGCAGTAGACGAGGGCGGCGTACAGCAGAGTGGGGCTGGTGCAGATCAGGGCCAAATGCTGCCACGTCGTGAACTCCCCCGCCAACATGCCCAGCAAGACGCCAATGGCCCGAGCGAGCTCGTAGAAACTTCCTGAGCAACGAACAAGATCAGGTTGGTCGGGCGGTTGAGATAGCAAAGACGGGAGCAGCGAGCTGTGCGTCCAAGCCTCAACAAAGCTGAAAATTTTTCGTCAATATCGAACAGTAAGAGTGGTCATGAACGTAAGATTGCAGAAACGAATTTCGAGTTCGAGAGAGTTGTGGATTCGAGCTAAGAGTGGAGTGTTCAAGCCTCAGCAATACCGAGTAAATAAAAAATTCTGGTCGATATATCGGCGGGTGGTCAGAAGGCAAAAAATGTAGGATTGTATCAGTGAGTTGTGGGGTAGAACCTCTGCTAAGCTGTGAAAAGTCGGGTCGAAAGGGACTATGGCGACGGGTGGCTGAACATCAAGATTGGAGCTCGACCTACGGGTTGGAGACTCAGCAAAAAAATATAATTTACGTTCGATGTTGCGAAAGTATGCAGGGCAGCAAGCATTACTTATATAATCCCAACTATATGTTTCGCTTTATTTTGTTTTTTGCACCCATTGAATAGCAATAAAACTTTGGCAAAGCAGTCCTGCACTTTTGGCCCCTGCTCTGGTCATCCCTAGCCAGTTACGCCTGGCTAATGGATTTATTAGTAGCTCTTAGCTCGTGCTGTGGAAAGATAGGGTGTCACTCTTTGTACATAAGAACCCTTATTTTTCGGAGTGAGTAGTCAGAAATTGAGATGCACTCTGGCAGTAAAAGATTCATATTTCTTGAATGCTTCAAATACATTCCTGCAATAAAATGACACATGGTCGCTCTAAATTGATTTTTAAATGCATTCAAGGAGTAAAGTATAAGTTTCTAACATACTGTTTAAGTTTGTTGCCAGATGGTGTTGTCGAAAAAAATTCGTTGCATAACTTAAGTTTCCCGTTTCGAAAAACATATTGCATTTACAATACTTTATTTGCGTATATTTACAACGTCCTTACTGCATTGACCATGAAAACATGAATAAACTTCATCGTATGTTGGCAACTTCAAAAAATCATAGATTGCAGTCCAATAAAATAATAAAGGTTAAAATTCATTAATATTTAACAGCAAAACCCAAATAATCAATTATATGATACAACCGACGTCTATGAAGCCTTATAAAAGCTTTAAAGGCTGTTTTTGCTGCACTGCAAAAAACTACTAATTTGAAAGAGTTTCACCCACCAAGCTTTCCTCTGATGTCTCTGGAAGCAATTTCACCAACGTAGGCGCAGCCAGCCGCTGAGCTCAAGCCGATAAACAATCCTGTTATTCCCCTGCCCAGCGCCAGCATGGATACGTTGGTCCCTCGGCCTGGCAACGAAGACAATATCAGCAGCGAAATTCGCAAGTTGGATCCAAAAAGCTGGAGGAGTCAAGAGTGGTTAGTATTCGAGTCTAATTAGAAAAAATTATAAATCAGTTTAATTTCTTGCGAATTTAAAGATTAATAATAGTACTCATTAATATTTTAGGCGAAATTTATAGTGACCTGTCATGAGCCCTCCCAGCAGGGCCGGCACTGCGGCAGCCAGCAACGCCCCCCTCCGTCCCGCGGCGTCCATGAGGATGCCACTCCCCAGCGCCCCCAACAGCGCCCCCATGGCGTATGCTGACAAGAACCACGACAGCTCCTCGCTGTCCATCACCACGACACCCCGTGCTAGCGCTTGCTGGTTGTCCATCAGCATGGAGGACCGTACTGATGTTGGCTGGCTGTCCATCACCATGGTTGACTGTGCTGATGTTGGCTGGCTGTCCATCACCATGAGAGACCGTGCTAACTTTTGCGTAATGATGTCAACATCAGGAATGATTGTTGTTTCGTTGCAATCAGTTGCATTACAAGTCGTAAAGTAATGATAAGTGCTGGTGTCACCAAGGTTACCACTGCCGGATGTACCGCTGGTGTCTGCTGTAAGACTCAATGTCGTGTTTTGAAGACTAAACTTTGCTCGATTGTCAGTAAGCTTAGCTAATTCGTGGGCAGCTCGTAGCTGAAAAGAAGCAGGAGCGTTGAAACCAGTCACCGCGCCAACCGCAATCGCACTCACCGACACTGTGAGCGTACAGAAAATATGCGTTACAGATCGTGATCAGTCCCTTTCCGACTTATTAAAGAATATTCAATAACTATTCAATAGTGACGACTTAGTTAAATAAATCGACCCTACACCCTAACTAAATTTGAATGCGGACCCGACTCTGCAATAGGTGCCGCCGAAGACTCTGATAGCACGTAAATCAGCTGCTCAATATCTACTGGCCGGGATAGAAGCACAACACCAACAACAGTTAAGTAACTTGAAAGCTCGGTAAGACTTTGCTCGGCCAGTTCTTCTCATACTCTCGGGCGACCATAAAGTCGGAAAGGACATTCTGACCAGAAGCTGATTTCGATCGAGTTCATGGCCAAGTAGATACAGAATATTTCTCACTGAGTGTGGAGATACCTAAGCAGCAACCCATAGGCGCCACCCGATTTATGTTAGGGTAGTTATGAAATTTATATTGTTAGGGTTGGTTACGAGATGCAAGTCAATTCAAAATGAAACTCAACACACTCGGTTCAATGACGGCCATCTAAGTGAGGCTGGCGACGCAGCAAACAAATTTTTTGGAAGCCGGATTTTTCATTACGAAAGAAGTGTCTTAAGAATTAAATTATACATTTAGTAGAATAATAGATAGACTTAATTTATAATAAGTATTCAACGACGACACACAGATTCACGCAACTAATACTTACGTTATGATTTTGGGGACGATACTTCAGCGTACGTGGGAGGGTTTGAATAAGCATTTAAAATTTTTCTGCCGTCGTTTTTGTGCATAATTAGTGGAACATTATATATCATTTTTTTAGCAGTCAGTAACAATGTTATTGATAAGGAGCAGAAAAACTGCTTTTTATATATCATATGAAAAAAATTAATTGGAATATGAATAATTTAATAGGAAGTATTGGGTTATTGGAATATTTATTAATATTTCATTCAGGATTCAGAAAGAAAGAAACTATAACAGATCAGACGAAAAAATCTCAATTCTATCTGGAATATAATGGTCGTCAAGTAACAAAATTTTTAGTTCATTACCTGATAGAGCAGTCAGGTACTGCGTCAACTGCGCTGGCCTAACTTGTTGCATTTCGCTGTCAGCCATACTGCGGAGACTGGACGCTCAAAGCCCCTTAAAGTTGAAAAGCACACACTTGGCGGGACTGAATTAGCTCTAAACTTTATCAACTTAACACACTTTACGAGATTGAATTGTCGCATAACTTTTTAAAGTTCAGCAGCACATGCAATTTACATGACTGGATTCTCTCAAAACTCCTCAAAGATAAAAAAACACAATTTACCAGACTGCATTCACTCTAAATTTCTCACAGTTTAAAGGTACACAGAATTTTTCAGTGATTTAAATTCTTTTTCTTCATAAAGATTTAAACTTTTTTATGTCTCCAAACATTTATAACGCTTCATGTAATTTGTAGATCCGCAATAATATTGTACGCTTATCTGGTTATATAGTTGCGTAACTGAATTTAGTTTAGTCAAGTTAATTTCTGGTTTAGTTAATTTTAAAGCGATTGTCTCGATATTAGCAGCTGAAAATATAACAATAAATCATAGGAACGCTGATGTGTACAAGATTTTTACATAAAAATGTCTTCGTGATAAAGCTCCGTGAATCCAACCCCGAGGCCAACTCACAAATGATTTCTCATTGTGCTATGATATTTATCATATTATTGCACAATTTTTCTCGCGTGAGGCGAATTATATATTTCCTGATTGACTTTCAATAACGTCAATTCCAATGTCAACTCGTGTCACTCGCACAAAGCCGACAATAAACGTGTTGGACGTGCTTTGAAGCAAATCTTGAAACCCAATTGACCGCCACTGACACAACCGGCAAAACAAACGTGGCCACGCATTACTGATATTCAAGCACAGGTTCAGGGAGTCCAAAAGCAATTCTTGCAGCCCACCATTACAAGACATACCTAAGGTACTAAAGGGCATTTTATTTATATCCTATATACAGGGACCGTCGGTTGGTTAAGGTGTTTTCATGACGACCGTGAAGGCGAATCAAATAGGCTTGTTTATGTGTTTGCCTGCTGACTAACTCCTGTTCCTAGGCCTGCAGGTGCGAATAACATTGACGATTAAAGCCTGTGTTCACCAATGGTTGAAGCTAAATTTCCAATATTATTTTCCAATTTCTGCCTGAGTTTTGTCACGGTCTCTCTGAATATTGACACCATCGTTTTTTTTTTCAACTAATTGCAATGAGTGAACTGAATGAATTACTAAATGCTTGAATGAACGTTTCAGAAGCTGCCTGCCCAGCAGTGTCTAAAAAACTAAATTGAACGGGAAATTTCAAACTATGGGTGCGTCTTTTTGGCTACGAGGAGTTTTTCTTCCAGGGAATAATATTTAGGTACAATAACTATCATTCATTATAACTTCAAACCTCCGGGCAAAATTGAAACACCTGTTAGGGACTGTACTCACTGGAGAGCAGAAGAAAGAATTAAATCATACTGTACACTTGGAAGGTGATAACCGGACTGGCTCCAAACTTTAAGAGTGAGACCGCATGAATAGTGACATATGACAACGAAAGCAGAGGGACACTGTTTAGTATTCCCACATTTAATAACAGGGCCGCGGCCAGAGTACAGACTCTTCGTGAGGGATCACTGTCTGTGGCAGAGCCGAGGCTCTTTAATGCCTTGCCAAAAGTGCTGAGAGGAGGGGAGTTCACCCGTGCCACATTCAAGAGACGACTGGACAATTGGTTGAGAAAGATCCCGGATTGCCCAGTTATGTGAAACTACTCTCTGCAAGTGACAAGCAACAGCATCTTACATCAGTTGGCCCACAGGAGGGCAATTAGAAGGAACACGTCCAACGTTGCATCCATTACAACACGTCCATCGTTGAACTCATCATAAGGTCATAAGGTCACAAGGTCACGTCACAGCACAATGCATTCTACCACGTTACCAGCACCATGCATTCTACCACATTTCCAGCACCATGCATTATACCACGTCACCAGCACCATGCATTCTACTACGTCGCCATAACCATGCATTCTTCTATTTCTCCCGCACTAGACATTTGCCCTCTCCATCATCCCAGGAAGCTGAACTTCTGAGCCGCTACATAAACTAACGAAGGCGACCGCACAGCAAAGTCATGCAGACCGTCAAACTGGGACGGAATACTGGGGTGAGGCATCGGCAACCTTCTCAGCCCTGAAATGTGTTTGCACAAAGTTACCTTTTGTAGTGGAAGTATTATGTCATACAAGTGCCATACTTGTGTAAAACATGCCGAAACGCTATGGCTGCCCCTTCATGTATGCCAGTACGAGTTAAATATTGAATTAGAGTCGTCAGGAGCCACCTGGCGCAACTTAGATTAATAAATTCCATTTTACATTGTTCAAAGAGATGTGGCAAACATTTACGGCGAGCCACAGTCAAGGTCAAGCGTTTAATGCAGCGTGCATTTACAGACTAGAAAATCATTTCAATGCTCTTCGAAGAGCATTTACTTAAAAATTTCAATGCTCTTCAAATTTCATTTGAAGAGCATTTCAATGCATTTACGAAGAGCATTTCAATGCTCTTCGTAACTTGAGAATGAATGCTTGTTACATTCGAAACGTCGTTAATAAACTAAAACTACTTCCTGATATATTCCTTTCGATCTACCAACGTCATCTGAAGAATTGTCCGACTCTTTGATAATCTAAATAAACGAATTCTCTGGTCGATAATCGCACGCGTATAAATCAACAAATTCTGAAATCTAAAACTAATTTTTGCAATAAATACCCGGCAGCAAGAGAGAAAATGATCACTGTGAGATACAGAACTGAACCAAGTGCGAAAAAATCAGCAGTGAGGTCAAAAAAATATGAAAACTAGAGACTCAGAAAAGTATCTGAAACGGTCTCAGAGTATTACAATCGAGCAATTTCATCTCAAGATCATCGATGAATCAAACTGGCTCCGTGACAACCTTGACAACAACGTCAAACCCTGGACCATACCGAGCAATGGCAAATGCAAAAATGCGGAAGTTCTCCAAGAGGCCGGTGTAATCTGTAAATTTTGCTTCAAAGAAGGTTGTAGACTTCTTCATTATTTGGATTACATTCGGGTAATTGCAGTAATGACTACGACATTGAACTGCCGTTTCTCCTACCATCTGAGACAAGCTCACAATCAGACCAGGTCTCAAAGTATTACAAAGAAGCGACTTCATCTCAAGATCATCGATGAATTCAACAGGCTTCGTGACACTCTTAAAAACGTCAAAACCCAGAATATATGCAACAATGGTACCTGCAAGGAAGCGAGAGTTCTCCATGGGTCCGATGTATTCTATAAATTTTGCCTCAAAGAAGGTTGTAGACTTCTTCATTATTTGGATTATATTGGAGTCATTGGGGTAACCAGGTCTCAAAGCATTACAAACAAGCAACTTTATCTCAAAATTGTCGATGAATTTAACAAGCTTCGTGACAACATCATCAAACTCCAAACTAAGCGCGATAATGGCCCTTGCAAAAACTCAGGAGTTATCCGAGAGGCCGTTGTGGTCTATAAATTTTGCTTCAAAGAAGGTTAAAGACTTCTTCATCTTTTTTACTACATCGGACTCTTTGGATCAACAACCAGGACACCGAGACGCTA